CTTATTGGTATGGGCTCTCTTTCCCCCCAAAAGAGGAATTTATTTAGCGCGAAGCCGGCCGCACTGTGTGCGTGGCATGCACAGGCCCACGCGGTCGTTTGCGGTCAACCTACGGTAGCCATCCGTGCAAAGTTACACGGTTCTTGCGCCGCGCTGAACGGTTAATATGGACGTCTGTGCACGGTGACATTTTTGATGCAGTCTGCCGTTACATTTAGAGACTTAGGCTACGTGCAAATATTATGGAACTGATGTTTTTATCCAAGATTCACGTCTTACCATCATTTTTGCGATGAATGACCATCATTGAGATGATATATATGAAGAAAAAAAGTGGCGTCAGGTTGCAACATTTTTCCTATTATTGATCCCTATAATCGCATGAACTACTTTTTCTTCATATATATTATCACCGCAAAAATGATAAGACGTGAATCTTGGACTGGCAAATATTTCCAATTTTGTTAGGAAATACTAATTTTCATCCCAAACTATGTGTTTACCGCAATTTTTTTTTTTTTACAGATGAACCTGCGGTTTTTTGATGAACCACTGCACTGCTCGAAAGACAATTGCTGCTAGTCCACCATTATTAATTGATTTCATTTTAACATTGTTGCAGTTTGCTGTTTTTCAACAGCATTTAGAGACTTAGGCCTACTTAAAAAATTTCAAAAAATTGTATTACGGAATCGATATACTTTCATCCCAAAACTATGTTTACTGCAATTTTTTTTTTCCCGATGATCTTGCGGATTTCTGATGAACCATTGCGCTGCTCAAGAGACGATTGCTTGACTGCAGTTCATCGTGAATCGATTTCATTTCAACAAGTCGGACTATGACGAAACATCTGGCCAAATCCCCGCCCCCAATTTGTAAATGTTTCGAATAAACTAGTTGATGAATAAACCAACTGTGATTTTTTTTTTTACATTTTCGTCTTTCAGACTTATAGCTAGGAAAGGACTGAATCATTTAAAAGTACTGACTGCTCTTGTATACTTTGGTTATTAGACTTAGCAAGAAAACGCAGAAATTACTTTATTTAGACAAATTAAATGTTTATATTTGCTTTCTAATATTTTGTCGGTTGGTTTTAATAGAGTTTAATAAAGCTCGCTCTGGAAACAGGAAGTTAAGGTGGTTAGGCTGTATTGCATAATTAAAGCACACCAAATCCGCATCTGAAGTTTCTCCACTGTAAAATTCAATAGATGAGCGACACTTCTATAGATGAGAAAGAAAAGAAAGAAAATGTAATGATTTAAATTTAGATAACAATTTAAATTCATACACTAAAAGAATAAACTAAAAGAATAAACTGTCGATGTCATCTGGTCCTTGCCAAATCCAGAACCTAAAAAGAAAAAAAAGGAAAGTATATTAAAATTTATTTCACAAGTTACCTTAGCTACCGAATCAAACGTTGAAAATGCACAAGGAATGTACAAGTACATGTACATTTTGTAATTCCATTAAAAACAGAATGGCAATGCCGCGCGCGACGCGCAGGCCGGCAGCTTCCGAGTCACCGGCATCGGTACCGCGCACGACCGACCGCTGCTCGCGCCCTCGGAGGCCGGCCCAGCAGTCAATTTCGTTGCCCTGCCATGTCTGCGGCAGGCCCAACGCGGAAAATCACGCTGCCTGGCAAAGCCATTAGATATTGAATGTGGTTCTGTGGGATAAAAATTAACTTTGACTTGAAAAGAATCGTATCGTTTCGGAGTCATGTCACGCACGTACTCTACTTTTTATTCTGATGGTACGAGTCGTTTTAATTGAAGGTACGAGTCGTCCAAGGTACGAATTGTCCAAGGTACAAGATGTCCAAGGTACGAGTTGTCCAAGGTACGAGTTGTCCAAGGTACGAGTTGCCCAAGGTACGAGTTGACTCGAAAGCAAATTAATTAGTCTGGTTCTCAGACCAAAAGATTCTGACTACTCCTGAATCTTTTGGTCTGGGAACCAGACTAAAAATAAATAAATTAGTCTGGTTCTCAGACCAAAAGATTCTGACTATTTCTGAATCTTTTGGTCTGAGAACCAGACTAAAAATAAATAAGATGTTTATTTTTTATCAGCCAATCAGCATCGAGCTTTCATCGCATGGAGCTTTCACGTTTGCCATCTTGGTTTTTGAGTCTGTTTTCTGGTTGTCATCGTCGTCTTTTAGTACCCCTGAATTTCCCTCATAAATCAAAGCCCTGCCCTCTTTCCACAAAATTAAACCTGCTGATATTCAAGAAGGTGTCATTGCCAGTTGTTCAGATGTGCCAAGAAGTATCAGAATGTCAATTTTGAGTGTCATTTAGTCAACTGTTTTGGTGAGTCTTTCCCTTCCTAATATAGGAACGGGGTCCTAAAAGTAAGGATTACCCGAGTTAGTAGTGGGTCCGAGTTGGCGTGGGTCCGAGTTGGTAGTGGGTCCGAGTTGACATGGGTCCGAGTTGGATTGGGTCCGACTTGGTTTGGGTCCGAGTTGGATCGAAACCAGTACAGGCAGTAGTAGCATGATCATTAGTCCGAGTAACTTGGACCCAACTTATCGCTTTTTTTAACATTTGGACATGGTCTGGCGCGATGGCGACCATGTCCAAATGTTAAAAAAGGCGATAAGCAGATAAGTTGGGTCCAAGTTACTCGGACTACATGATCATGTAGTCCGAGTAACTTGGACCCAACTTATCGCCTTTTTGCCAGACCATGTCCAAACGTTACAAAAGGCGATAAGTTGGGTCCAAGTAGGATGCAACATTCTTTCCCTACAATCTTTCTCGTAATCATTTTCAAATGTACTGCATGCAGTAGAGAATTTTTACCTTGATTTTTTTGGCCGATTTTCCATCAGGATAGACAGAAGTTACAAAGTTCATGGACTCCGTGTTTATCAATACAGCGCCACAGTACATCACATGTATGTCACGTGTAATGTTTACAGGGTGACCGTAAGGTCATGCCCAAATTCTGCTAAATGCACCTCAAAAAATCTGTCAGATTTATCAAAAATCTGCCAAATTCCCCAGAATTACTCGAAATACACTATAAACACTTGAAATCACATGCAGCTGTTGTAATATTGCCATAATTAAGGTTCAAATTAATTATAAACAATCTATATTCATATAAAGGTGTTGTGAAATTGCGTAAATTTCAGTCAAAACGAGGTTGTGTCCCGACGAAATCTGATTCCCAGTGAACGTCAGAGGTGGCAGCAAGTCATTTTTTGCAAGTCCAAGTCAAGTCACAAGTCATTGTTTGCAAGTCCAAGTCAAGTCACAAGTCATTAGGTCCAGTCACAAGTCAAGTCACAAGTCATTTGGTCTAAAAACAAGTCAAGTCACAAGTCATTTGGTCTAAAAACAAGTCAAGTCACAAGTATCTTTGTCCAAGAACACGTCAAGTTGCACATTATTAATAAGCTAAAAGAATTAACCTGGCGTCAACTTACGAGTTATTTTGAACATGCCTCCTTAATCCCCCTTTTTCAATGTATTGCAATTACTATTCTTGTAGTTTATCACATATCTGTCGGATATTAGCCCTTTGTATACTTTAATAAATTTACTTTACATTGTAGAAATAAATGTTGAGATGACCGTGAAAAAAAGACTTCCTCACTCGATTACATGTAGTATACTAACAATTTATTGTTCAATTTTCATGTATACTAAACGCCTACCAATGGGTTAGGCTATCCGGTATTTTACATGAAATTGACAAAGGCCTGCTTTCTTTTCATGAAAGGTTCCTTTCAAAGTTTGTTCAACCAATACATTAAGCAAGAGACAATTGGTCATTGAAAACTGTAGTTTGTTGTGACAGTCTTATTGAAAACTTTTGAAACTAGTGGGAACTATTCATTTTACTGGATTCAGTGGTCTATTTTCTGGAATGAAAAAGCTAATTAAAAGTATAATAGCTTAATTAAAGTGTATTGGGTCGCTCGAGTAGCGTCTGACTTGGGTTGGTAACAAGTCATTTTTTGCAATCCCATGTCAAGTCACAAGTCATTGTTTGCAAGTCCAAGTCAAGTCACAAGTCAAAGCTGGTATTTACAAGTCAAGTCACAAGTCACAAAAATAGCGACTCGAGTCCGACTCGAGTCCAAGTCACATGACTCGAGTCAGCAACTCTGGTGAACGTCAGCATATAGACAAGGCAACCTGTTCTATTTTTGCAAGGGTTTGTTTGAAAAGATTGAAGTTTTTTAAACAAATCTTCCCTTTTTTCAAATTTGCTATGTTTTTCTGTTAAATAACCATTTTTGCAGAATTCTGCCAGAAATCTGCCAGAAAAATCCATTCTGTCAAATTTTCTGTCAAACTCATTTTTGAACAAAAAATCTGTCAAAGTTAGCCGAAAATCGGCTAAAACGGTCATCGTGAATGTTTATTTGGTGCCGATTTTGCTTTGTGGAAACTGCTGAGGGCGCTATGTATGAAATATACACTGTCGTTTCGATTCACTGGTGAACACTCTCGTATGCTCGTAGTCGCCTGTGATATATCAACGCTCGTTTTGGTTGTGCAGTAAACCAGTGATGGATGTGTTGCTAATATACGGGAAGTTCTTATATCACAACCCGCAGTGCCTTAATTTGCATGGAGCCGTCAGATTTTGCTTCATAAGCCAAATTCAGATTTTTTGTGTGTGTGCGTGAATCTTGTGAATCGTAAATTCATTTGATTTGCTCACATTACAATTTTCCATTTAAAGTTAAATCCTGTAATTTCATTTTTTTTTTAATTAAGGAATTCCATAATATGAACATGATCAAGGCTCATGATGCATGGTTTCACAAAATAGCATTTTGATAAATGTTTTATTTATAACTGAATTATTAGTATTTATTTTCAAAACAAATAAAGCAGAACATAAGATAAAGGTTCAGCAGGTAATTAACATTTATACAAAAACCTTTTTTTTAATTCTTACTAGCTCTGCAGCCAGCTCTAGGCCGCGCATAGGGCCTATACTTTGTTGCTGGCCCTCAATTTATGCAAATGTAACCCAGGGCATGGCAGGGGTTGTTATTTACAAATGTGCAAAGCTATATATAGCGCGCAGTACACCAAAGACACACACAACCCGAAAGTATGGTAGGTCTTTTTGAACATAAATTTCATCCCCCATCTGATGTCCCCTCGCAAATGTTCGTTAATTATTGAAATATATGTCTTATATGCCATCTTATATAGGCATTAGTGGGCGGAAAGTAAATCAATTAGGTTTAAAGTTTAGTAGTTTTCTTCGCTAGTAAATCGTCGTTAGGGAGATGAAAAATCATGCGTAGCGTTAGCCGGGCCCCATAAATGTGGCCTATTTACTGGACTACCTCCGTAAACATAGGCCACACATCCACATGTACAATACGTGTCGCACTTTGCCAAATTTTGATTTTCACATTTAGGCTTAGTTTGTAGGTTATTTTGCTTTAGAAGCATACTCGACCTCTTCATACTAGGCTAATCAAAAAGTGCTGCCTTTTTCAGATGTCTTTTTTTCGTGAAATTTCCAGATTCATTTGCACACGTTTGCGTATCAAAATTTCAACATGAAATTTCACAAAAATTAGACATCTGAAAAAGGCAGCACTTTCTGATTAGCCTATAACTAGGCGAAGTAAAAAAACAACAAGTTTCTTTTCCCGGCCCGCTTCCTTTTTGGAGGCTGCCTGGATTTTTTTATTATTTTTTATTTTTGAAAAATGTAGTAAAAAAACACCGAAAAAGTCCACAAATTCATCGGAAAATAAATACCAATACCAATACAACTCTAAATGACACTGTGGGAAAAATTCCATACTGGGCCACGACTTTACCTGCCGCTAAACACATCAATTTTCACCTCACCTTGTGATTTCACCCAATGGGGAATCCAGGAAGCTGTGTTAATGCGAAAAAAAATTAGGCAAAATGTGTTTTTAGAGCCCATTTTGGATGCACACGTCGTACGGAATTAAGTTGAAGCGGCCTGTCAAAACTGATTGAACTGTGGCTGACAGACAGCGGTACGCATGACGCATGACATCGACAACCATGACGTCGCATGAGCCGGCCAATGATAGTGCAATACATCATTATGAATATTTATTTCTCATGAATATTTAGTTTATTTCAATGGCTACTTCAAATACGTCCAAAGATTGATTATTGCAACAGTGATCGTGCGCGGCCTAGCGGTTAATAGTCTCGTGTTTCAAGTAAGTAAGAGTCCGAGGTTCGAATCTCGATGAAGTAAGTCAAAGGATACAACTTTTGGCGCTTGAAAATTAATTGAAAAAGAGTTGCAGCCCAGTACCGAATTTTTTCCGACACTGTAAATATGTTCAGTTCTCTTGTCCTACTTGTCTTTCATTTTAAAAGTCTCTTTGAACAGTTGTCACAACCAACGGTTGCAGCAAATTTTAAAATGGCGGCCATCTTGAAAAAAAATAAAAAATAAAAGGCCCTGCTTCCTCCCTTTTTTCAAAAACCCTGGACGAGAAACTTTTTTTTTTTTTACTTCGCCTAAAGAGGGTGAGTATGCTTCTAAAGCAAAAAAAACCTACAAACTAAGCCTAAATGTGAAAATCAAAATTTGGCAAAGTGCGACACGTTTTTGTACATGTGGAGTGTGGCCTATGTTTACGGAGGTGGTCTAGTATTAGGCCACATTTATGGGGCTAGCGTGGCATTAGACCCGTGAACGTGGCTTGTAAACTACGCCACGCTCTTGTACATGTTCGAACCAAGCGAAATCGTCTTTCCGTGACAAAGACTGAACATTGCCTTACCGTGTGATAAGTACTCACATATCACAAGCTTTCTTGAACATGTTGAAATCTGCTTTTAGTTTTACGCCAAATCTAGCATTTAAACGATATTCGAGGTAAAATCTGGCAAGATCTCGACGTCCTGCAACCTCCTGCTGATGCATGTGATTTACCACGTGATAAATGCTGCAGATAATTTGGTACCGCACTGACGCTCCGGGCACTCCTGATGTCCGGATCATTTATCACGTGGTCTCGTTATTGGCCAATCAGACGCCACCTATCATATGCACCACATGAAGTAGACGGGTAGCTCGGGGGGCTCCGACAATTTTGCACGCTATCGCTAATGACCCTGGGTACTCGTCCAGGGTCATTTGTCAGGGTCACTTGTCAGGTTCAAATCTAATTTCTACACGTTCGTATGGGTCTTCATTGATGGCAGATTTTGTCGAAATGACACATCCTGAACACGCGTACAGGCAAATTTAGATTTCTAGGTGAGTACTCAACATCCATATGGAATTATGTATGGCGGATCGATTTCGTTAGGTTCGAAAATACACATCAGCGTGGCGTTGTATACAACGCCACGTTCACGGGTCTAGCGTGGCGTGACATGAAACGTGGTAGCCCCATAAATGTGGCCAATTTACTGGACTACCTCCGTAAATAAAGGCCACACTTCCACCATGTACAAAAACTTGTCGAACTTTGTCAAATTTTGATTTTCACATTAAGGCTTAGACCCGTGAACGTGGCGTTGTAACTTGTATACAACGCCACGCTGTTGTGTCATTTCGAACCTGGCGAAATCGATCCGCCAATGCGCCATACATAATTTCGTATGCATGTTGAGTACTCGCCTAGAAATCTAAATTTGCCTTCCCGCGTGTTCAGGATGTGTCATTTCGACGAAATTTGCCGTCAATGAAGACCCGTACGAACGTGTAGAAATTAGATTTTAACGTTAACTGGACAAGTACTTGAAGTACCCAGGGTCACTTGCGTGCCAAATTATTGGAGCCCTCCGAGCTACCTGTCTGCTTCATGTGGTGCATATGATAGGCGGCGTCTGATTGGCCAATCACGAGACCACGTGATAAACGCAGCTAATAATTTGGAATCGCACTTATGATCTGGACATAAATAATGCCCGGAGCGTCAGTGCGATACCAAATTATCCGCAGCATTTATCACGTAGTAAATCACATGCATCAGGAGGAGGTTGCAGGACGTCGAGATCTTGCCAGATTTTACCTCAAATTTCGTTTAAATGCTAGATTTGGCGTAAAAGCAGATTTCAACATGTTCAAGAAAGCTTGTGATATGTGAGTACTTATCACACGGTAAGGCAATGTTCAGTTTTTGTCACGGAAGGACGATTTCGCTTGGTTCGAAATGGTACAAGAGCGTGGCGTACGGTAGTTTACAAGCCACGTTCACGGGTCTAATTAAGTCTTAGTTTGCAGGGGTTTTTTGCTTTACAAGCATAGGCCTACTCACCCTCTTTATAGGCTAATCAGAAAGTGCTGCCTTTTTCAGATGTCTAATTTTCGTGAAATTTCATGTTGAAATTTTGGATGATACTCAAACATGTGCAAACGAATCTGGAAATTTCACGAAAAATAGACATCTGAAAAAGGCAGCACTTTCTGATTAGCCTATAAAGAGGGCGAGTATGCTTCTAAAGCAAAAAAAACCTACAAACTAAGCCTAAATGTGAAAATCAAAATTTGACAAAGTTCGACATGTTTTTGTACATGGTGGAAGTGTGGCCTTTATTTACGGAGGTAGTCCAGTAAATGGGCCACATTTATGGGGCTAGGCGTGTGGAGGTTCACTTCGGCTTCTTGCCAACTCGGCACCTACCAACTCGGTACCAGTACACTAAAACCAATAACGCTAGTCGCTAGCCCTTTTAGTGGGGTTTGTGTACATGGTGTAGTTGAGGACACCTCCGTTTTTATTATTCTTAACAAGATGTTGTCGCTCCCCCAAAGTCTGCAACCTCGGGAAACGTTCTCCTTATTATACTGACCCTAATTTGTTTTTATTTTAGAACAGTAAAATTGAAAGAAAAATGACTTTTAGACTGTTTTTCATGAAATGTATGTTATTACATGTACTATTATTAGGGCCTACTGAAAGTTGGCCCCACTAGTGTGGCAATGATATTGCTGCGCTGTACCTTATGCCATGTATGCCACCCAACCTACTGAGGAGAGTGTCATTTGCTGGCGCAGGAAGCTGCACTTATGGTTGCATTCTATGATGTCTCAGCTTTTGTCCTTCGGGTTGATTAGGTTATCTTATATCCAATTTTTTGAGAAATTTAGGCATCTTTCTGGAGCTGAGACATCATAGAATGCAACCGTATGGCTGTGTGGCATAAGGTACAGCGCAGCAATACCGTTGCTACACTAGTGGGCTAACTGATAGTTTGAGCACGGACCATGGTTTGGGGAGATCAAGTGTGGAGTTGGTCAGGTGCTGAGTTGGTCAGGTGCCGAGTTGGTCAGGTGCAGAGTTGGAAGTCACGAGCAGGAGACAAAAAAGTATATTTTCTTGTATTGCATGTTTTTACTTAGCCCCATAAATGTGGCCAATTAACTGAACTACTTCCATAAACGCTATGATAATCTGGAGTGACAAGGAAAACGTTGCTTTTTGCGATTTTCGCATTCCGACTTTGCTTCAAATTCCAACATGGCAAAGGTCACGTGCAGTGCATGCTGGTAGCGTGACCTCCAGGTCAGCATGTTGGCTGTCAGTCACGTGGCCTGCGGCCGACTCGGCTGTTGCTTGACTTTAGTAATCCTCGGTGTATAGTGCGCCCTCCTCTCATGCGTATTTTCAGACTTCATACATGTACCAGCATATGTACAAGTAACCATCATTTTTTGGATGGTTGTAACACTGTGGGCTTGGCATTGGAGCTTTGATAGACCAATTACTTGCATCTAGAATTCTACATTCTCAAACAAAAATCTCCCTAAAAAGTTGATCTGGTCGATCCATTACTATTTAAAATTTTGGAACAATGGTTTGGGACCATTGGACTGACAATTTTGTGAGAAATTACACACTTTTTACATTCTATCGTCAGTTTTTCGACATCACGAATGTTGCACACACACTAAATGCAAACCTTTGCAGTAGGCCTAACATTATTTCGTGGATCAGTTCCAGCATTTTTTACAGGAGGAGGGAATGATTTTTTTCAGCGCGCGCCATATTCGATGTCACCCGTTGTGCGCGCTGAAAAAGATAATCTGTCCTGTTTAGAAAATGCTGGAACCGACTGTGATATATAGGTTACTGCATGCAGGGGTCAGCAACGGA